CCCAGGTGGTCATGATGTGAACAAACCTGAAACTACACTACCTTAGGATGCTTCCACATGAGTGTCATCTTTGTTGGCCCAATGGTTTTGGAGAAGAAGATTTTAAAAGATTTTTTCCTATATATTCCTATGTAAAAATTGCATCAACCATTGTGGCCCCGCCCTACATCTGGGGGTCATGATTTGAACAAATTTGAATCTACACTGCCTGAGGATGCTTCCACATAAGTTTCATATTTCCTGGCCCAATAGTTCTGAAGTACGAGGGGTGATCAAAAAGTTCGCGAACTATCTCTATATCTACAGAACCACAATTCAGATTAGAATGAAATTCGGTACACACATAGGCAGACATAAGGTCTATAAATATCATATGCTGAATAAAGTTTTTCTCCTTGTTTGTGACGTCACAATGTGAAAATGACGTCACTATGCAGGTCACTTGTGACGAAGAATGGTTGTCTCAGTCGAACTCTTTCAACAAACAACTGTACAATTTATTGTATATCTTAGAAATCCCTCTGCAGTATCATATAATAATTTGTACACAGTTTATTGAGATAAATGAGTTCCTATAAATTCAATTAATGATTGGATTGATCGTTTTAGTGAAGGAAGGCAGATGGTTAAAAATGATACTTGCCATCTTGCCCAGTAAAAGCAAATTTGAAAAGATGTAAAGTCTTGTCAAATATATTTTATCTTTATGTACAATAGTGTATTAACTCGAGCAAGTGAAGTACGTCTACTCTACTAGGTTCTGGATCGAACACGGTTATCTTGTTCAATCTCCGATTATCCAAACAAAATCTGATACTTTTATCCTTCTTAGGTATGATAAGGACAGGTGCTGCATAAGGACTAAGTGCATGTTCTACAATACCTGCTTCTATCGTTGAAGATAGTTTCTTCTTTACACATGTAAACGAAGGGCCCATACTGGAGGGTGACCTGACCCTCAGTACAAGTAGCAGTGGGATTTGATGGACTCTAATGTTTTAATTTCAAATTTCCACTGCAATAAGGGTCATAAATACAAATGTACATGGTATTATATCAAATATTTATAGAAGTATGCGATAAATGTCTGTCTTTAATTTGCTTTGATTTATTTTTCGGTCATTGTTTGAATTCATTTTTTGTTTTTTTTTTGTTTTGTTTTTTTTTTTTTTTTTTTGGTTATTTTTTTGGGGTTTTTTTTTTTTTTTTTTTTTTTTTTTTTAGTTCTGTAATTAAACATACAAAACAATGATACACACTCTTTAACTTTTCAGTACAACTCACCTGATTATTCCTGTGATAACATCTATGCTATCTTCACACCTTTCCCCGTATCCCTTGTATCCATCAAAGGATTTCCTATCCACTCACTGTCATTTGTCATGTCTAGCGAACAAACTGTGGACAAATCACAATCACACGGAAATCTTCTTTCATAATTCAATATTAAAGGCAAATAACAAATTCATAAGGGTTAGGAATCACAATTCCACTTTGTCTAATGAAGATAATCAGAAAGTTTATCTTATTGTACTCTATATTTCTTCTATCTAAACCCAAACTTGTTCTTATTCTCTTAGGTCGCAAAAACTTTCATTTATATAGTATGAAAAAAACACATCTACTATTGTTGTCCGGTAAAATCGTGGACAAAGCGTTTTTCTCGAAAAATAATGGGCGCACAAAGCAGAAATTTTCAGTAAATGTTTATTTATTATATTCAAGTGTATAGTAATGTTTTTGATAAAATATAGACAAAAATAAAGATTTTATAATGCTTGAATGTGCACAGTGTAGGGTCCTACGGCGCACAGTCAGAAACGAAGATTATATTGGAGAATACATGAGAATTAATTCGAAATAAAAGATATAAATAGATATGATTGGAGGGTTGGGATTATCCTAATTCGATTCCACAATCTATTTTGTCGTCTTTTTTTTTAAATTTTAAGGCACTTAGTTCAATTTTGGCAATTGCATTAGAAATGGTAAACACAGTGGTAAACACATTACACAAAACCAATTGACGTTTGGTGACGTTACAGCGCACCAGAGAGCAGTTAAGTTTAATTTGAATGGTGTAATAACACCTCAATAGACTTTTTTATGAATACAGATGAAAAAGATTTCTAAAAAACAAATCACCAGATCTTTAGTATAAAAACAAAATGGGAGTTTTCTTGGTGAAGTCGTTCTTGATCTAGTTCTCATGTAGTAAAAACATATGGACAAACTGCTATTGTAATAGCAAAAGACGATCTCACTGTTGACCGTCAATATAAGGTTGTCTTTTAGTTGAAGGATGGTGGGAATACTGTCTGTGACATATTAGTAAATCTTCAGAAGATTGCACGTTTGTGTCAAATTGGTTCCACAACTGTTTATTGAGACTGAAGTATTTGTATCAATGAAGTTACGTAATTTAAGCGGGACTTATCCAACTTGATTTTGAATTGAAAAGATTAGATATGACGCTGTTTTAGACACTTTGACGTTATCATTAGGGCTCCTTCAGGCGATACAATACATAAGATAAAATATCATAATTTGTTAATGTTTGCATTTATCCGAGGGTCATTCAAAAATTCGTATACTTTTGTCCTAACTTCTTTTTATTTAACGTCATAATATCCTAATTTTAACACCGAATGTGAATAATTTGAATTAAAAATTTGGAATATATCTTCATATTTATACAAATTATCAAGGATTTACAACGAAAAAATGGGGTCACGGGGCAACGTCAAAACTGCTCAGCTATGTTAAGGACCTATATGGAAAATGTTACCTTTGCACCGTTTTGATATGTATTACTTCTTTTAAAAAATTGTAACAAAGCAACTGAATACTCGTAGAAAATGCAATATAGCTATCAATAATGAATAGGACTAGGCTGTAGTTAATACCAGTTATATAGCACGTATCAGCTGTTTGTCACGTGACTTGTATGAAAATAGAATTGTAAAGCTGAATGTAGCTTGTTAAATTTCAATGACGTCATAATTAAACTTCCAATACGATGAGTAAGGAATGTGAACTCTGACCTTCCTTAACATAGCTGAGTGAGTAATTTACAGAGTAATTCTCACTTCATAGTATCTTTTGCCAGAACTCAAATAAATGGAACTGAAACAAAATAAGATTTACATGTTGAAATTTAGATCTGTTATATTACTTAAGATTTTATCAGGTAGTGTAATATATTGTTCCATTTAAAAGATATCCGTTTCTAAATAAATACGGACTTGATTAAAAAAGACAAAAAACAAGGACGTTGGAGGACGTAACAGAGCAGCGAGTAGCAATAATATTTTGTTTTGCATTCGGAAAACTTCTTTAACAAAATTTAAAAAATCTGTATAAACCAGGAAATGTATGAAAAATAAGACGTGTATTTGTATAAAATGGAAAATACAATTTTTGAGTCGTAGCAAGTTTAAATCAGCAATTCATGCTCTGCCAAAATAAAAAACATGTTATAGTTAAAAATCTTGTCAGAAGAGTTATGAACGTCAATAAACGTGATGTGCTTGACTGTTGCGGATTTAATCTAGTTGCACGGTAGGCCTAAGGAATTTGAAATCAATGGCAACTACTTTAATCTATTTGCACAATAAATAGCAAACTAGGTGTTTAATGATATGGATATTTTTTTTTTATGAATGAAATGAACGCTAAAAAATGTGTATGAAATTAAAAACCAGAGTTATTTTGAGAAACTTTGACTTTGTTGTGTTTGACGTTACAATGTTGCTTTACTGAGCACCTTGGTAACATTATATGCTGCTTTAAATATTGGCTAGCATGAATTCAATTAATTCAAATGGGATGAAACTTCACACTTCGAGACAATAAATGCTTTTATTTACGAAAATGTGTTGATCTATAATCATGTGATAATAATTTAACGATGAGGGACATTGTTTACGTCTTTTTTAAATGACCCTCGTGTATCCATTTTTTTCTATGTTCTTAATAGTAGTGTGAATTTCAGAACGCAGCGATGATTATTATTTACGCCGGACAACTTGGGCACGATTTTACCGGACAACCCTCCTTGAAAAATAAATTTCTATGAAATTCTAAGACATTACATTCGGACATATTCCAGAGACACTCCCTCATAATTCATTCTAGAACATCCTAGATTATACGTCATCAAAATACTAGAAAATATATTAAGATTGCGACTGTTCGCAATTAACACAAACTGATGTCGAAGCAATCAGGTTAGCATCTCAATATATACATCTCTTCATCGTGTTGACGTGGTACATGAAAACCCTAGTTACCGTTTTATAGTACTTTACCTATAATCTACGAGACTTAAAATTACCTTCTTCGTAATATTAACAGGTCCCTTCCCTGTGTATGGTATGGTGTGATATTCAACATACGAATGTTTAGTAAACGATAAAACCCCGTCATAAGAGAGGATATAAAGTCTGTACTTTGAACTGATAACATCTCCTTTGGGACCACAATTCTTGAAAACACCTCCATTAACACCTCAGATACCACTTATGCCTTTTGTCTTCTAAATGGTATCGCATCGGGGTATCTTGTTGCGTAATCGCATAGAACAAGAATGTACTGATAAATTCCTTTTGTTCTGGGTAATGGGCGAACCATTTCAATAACTACACTTTGAAAGGGAATCTCGATTTGTGGCACCTGAACCAAAGGAACTTTACTTACTTTGATTTTGGATATTACCTTGTGGCACTTGGGACAAAATTTGCAGTACCTTTTTTTTTCCTCAAAAATATCTGACCAGAAGAATTTCATCAGTATTCTTTCTCTTGTCCTCTGAATACCAAGATGTCCTGCTCGTGGAATGCCATACCCCATCAATAGTATTTGACCTATGAATTTTTCTTTTACTAATAACTGCTTAAGGATAGTGTGTTTAATCGTTTTGAAAACCCTATAAAACAAAACTTTCTCCTTTGTTATATAGCTTTCGCCATCATCTGAACACTTCTTGTCTATACTCTCGCTTAATCTGTCAAGACTCGGATCTTCACCTTGTTCTTGTATCCACTCCTCCTTTGAACCCATGACATTACATCTGAATCTTGCACCAGTTTCTCTTCTACCTTACTGTGATCTCTTTCTTTTGCTGCAGATCTTGTTTCTACAGCTTGACAAGCCAATCTTGCTACACTTTCACATAACAACCATATCTGCTGTGGAATATCTACTCTTGTATTATTTGTCAAAGAAATTGAAATCAGCAAAAGGAGAGTTAAGCAACAGTGCCACTACTTAACCTTACACACAGTGTGTCCATGTGTATCCAGACCTCTGGACACGGCTGCTGAGAACAACCATTGGTGCATGTAAGAGTAATTACACTTATTGCCCCTGTCATATCGTCTGATAATAATAATAATAATAATAATAATACTTTATTTAAAGAGGGTAACCCGTTTAGTGCAATGCACTAGTCTTCCTCGGGGCCCTCTATACATGGATAGTGCAATTTTGTATACAACAGTACAATAATCAGAAAATTTACAAGTATATTACATACATGAATAACATTTGAAAAAAAGAAAGTATATACAATGTATTACCAAAACATAGAACAAGTTACAATTTAGGAAATGTTTCGTCCATTGATGATAAATTTTTCCACATTTTTACGAAAGGATTGTACAGTTGGGGAAAAACGTACATGTAGAGGTAATTTGTTCCATAAATTAACGCCTGAATATTGAAAAGAATTTTTAAACAGATTTGTTCGATACTTTGGTAGACTAAGGTCATAATTGGATTCAGAACGTAAAACATAATTTTGGGAGGAAATAAATTTAAACGAGTCTCTCAGATAATCAGGTGTCATATCATGAAGTGTTTTATAAAGCAGTATGTATTTGTGAAAATCTATCAATTCATAAATAGTAAGCCAACCAAGTTTCACAAATAATGGTTGTGATGGAGCATCTGGTGCCGCATCTAATATAATTCTCTGCTCTTTTTTGTAATTTAAAGACTCTTTCTATGCCAGCACCTGAAGCATTGCCCCATATAGTTAAGCAATAATTTAAAGATGGCAGAATGTATGCATTATAAAAAAGTTTCCGCGTGTGTAATGGGAGAATTTTTTTTTGTTTTACGTGATGTAAATAGTTTATACGTCAAAGACTTGCGCACAGAATCAATATGACTAATATAGCGCAATGAATGATCAATATGTACTCCAAGGAGTTTTTCTGATTCAACATTTTTAAGAACTTTGTCTGATACACACAAATCTAATTTTGAAGTTGTTAATTTAGATTTTCTATGTTGAGTCCCCATAAGCATACATTTTGTCTTCTCAATATTCAGCACCATTTGATTTCTAGAACACCAGTCTTCAATCTCACACAAATCAACATTTAGGGCATTTTCAATAGAATGCACATTATTATGATATGTATGTAAAGTTGCATCATCAGAAAACAAATCAATATCTGTATTATTTACATGTAGAGGAAGATCATTTATGTACAGTAAAAATAAAAGTGGTCCTAAAATAGAACCTCGTGGCACACCTGCTGTGACGGGCATAAATTTAGAGGAATAAGTACCCAATTTTACACATTGTGTTCTTGAGCTCAGATAGGAATAAAACCATTTAATTGACATTTGGTCAAAGTGATACAACTTAAGTTTGTTTATCAGAATATCGTGATTGACTAAATCGAATGCTTTACTAAAGTCTAGGAAAGTTATTCCTACAAGATTTCCTTGATCCATAGCTTGCAACCAGTTGTCTGTTAGTTTTGTTAATGCTGTTTGACAGGAATGAAACTCTCGAAAACCAGACTGTGATTTATATATAAGATCAAAGGTAGTAGTAAATTCCCGGAGTTGATTGGCTATGTGTTTTTCAAATAATTTGGACAATGTTGGAAGAATTGATATAGGTCTGTAGTTTCCTGGATCGGCATGGTCCCCGTTCTTAAAAATAGGGGTGATTTTTGCTATTTTTAAATGTGATGGAAATACACCATTAATTACGCTAGCATTTATAAGATGTGTTATGGATTTGCATATGACATTTGCTGAAAGTTTTAGTAGACGAGGCCCAATAAAATCTACGCCTGCAGATTTATTTACATCTAATGCATTTAACATATTAAATACTTCTGTCTCACTAATTTGGTGAATACTGAAAAAATTTTCGTTCCCAAGTTTTGATCTTGTAAAGTTGTCTAATAATTTAGAATCAAAATTTTGCACTGACATATCTGACAATAACTTACTGGATACCTCTGTAAAGTGTTTATTTAAAATATCAACTATATCCTGTACATTTTCAAAATCAGAACCATTCTGAGTAATACGAGTTGGTGTAAAGTTACTGGAGTCTGGAGATGCCAACTGGTTTAAATAACCCCACATTTCTTTAGGATTTGAGCTTTCTTCAATGGCTGATTTGTAATAAGATGTTTTGGCTTGATCAATTAGCTGTGTGACTTTATTTCTCCAAAATCTGAAATTGTTTGAATCACCTCGTATATGGTATAAATCACGTAAATGCCTAGCCTCGTTAATTTCTGGTGTAAGCCATTTAGGTCGAATATCTGTCTTGACTCTTTTTGTTTTTACTTTTGCATGTTTGTTAAGAATGCCATTAAATAAATCATAAAAATTGTTCAATATTTCGTTTGGATCATCAAGTTGGAGAAGAGTGTTGAAATTTGAGTTTGCTAAATCTTTAAGAAAATCATTTTCATTAAACTTTTTAAAGTCTCGGAATTGAATTTCAATATGTTTGCCTTTTCGTTGCATGTAGCTTGCCTTGCGTGTAGAACACACGGGATAGTGGTCTGAGATAGCAATAGGGGGAACACAGATTTCACATATGTTATCTGGTTTTGTCGTATAAAAATGATCAATTAAGGTACTTGAAGTACTGGTTATCCTGGTAGGTACAGTAATTATCTGTGAGAGTCCAAACTCCTCTAAAGCAGATGTCCAGTATTGTGGGGGGGTCTTTCATTAGATCAATATTGAAATCACCTGATAGAATAATTTCAGTATCGTCACAGCAGGAGGCACGGTTCACTTCCCTTGCCAGGTCCTCCGCCCAGCAGGAGGGGGCAGATGGTGGACGATAAGCAGAGCAATAAAATATAGGTTTTGAATTTTTTAGATTAATTTCTAGCCAGATTGTCTCAATATTACTGATCTCAAAATCAGTTCTACGTTTATATGTGATATCACTTGAAATATAAGTAAGAATTCCACCACCTGCCCTTAATGTACGGTCTTTTCTTTCAAAAACAAACCCATCAATAAACAGTTCTGAATTTCCTACTTGCTCACTCAAAAAAGTTTCACACAATCCTAAAATATCTAAAGATTGCCGTGTTTGAAGCAACAGTTTAATTTCATCTATTTTAGGAATAATATGACAAATATTTAAATTTCCGAAACGTAAACCTTTCTTAATCAATCCAAATCTTGAATCTTTTTGTATTTGTGAAGTATGAATTTGGTTATTGGTCATAGGAGCTTGATGTTTTGTTTGTGAAACAGATTTGAATGAGTTTATCGTAAGAGGAGCAATGTTAGCAGGTTGTATAATTGAGCTCTCATCATTGAGAGAAGTTTTCACTTTGTCCGAGAGAGTCTCATTCTTAATATATGGTTTTCTGGGCAATTCAGATTTAACAGAGGTATTATAAACAAAAGTATTAGTTTGATTTAAACAAGAACATTGAAAATCGTTACATTCTGTACATACAGCGCCTAGAATAGAATATCTATTTGAATTTAGTGTAGATTTAGTATTGTCGTGACCAGGTTTTCTGCAACTAGTAAAAATGCACATCCTGTTTCCCTAAGTACTGAAGTACTCTTATCATTTACGAACCCTTCCTCTATTGTCAGACCTCTGTTGTCTGGGATATCTTCTATCTTATCTTTACCTGAAACAGGAAGTTCTACATCCTTAACATTAGCAGGGGAGTGGATTAAACCTGCTTTTATCTTTTCTATTACTTGCCTGAACAGTACCTCGTTCTTCTCCGGCTGGTTTCTAACCCGCTTAACTCTTGCTACTTGGATTGCATTAAGGACAACTATTTATGGTATGGTCAACTCCTTTACAGAGAAAGAAATTTGTTTTGTTGGCTTATTAACGGAATTGTGTTGCCCTTAGTCTTAATAAACTTACCTTTCAAATGTTTGGTGTACCCAACAGCTTTGTTTGTCACAAATTACCCTTGATGTGCATTTTATGATGCTTCTGCAGATTTTACCATTTCACCTACTGTCTAAGTTTGTCTTCAACTAAATTTGTACAGAGGAACTGTTAATGAGCTTCTCTCTTTCATCATACATCTACTTGAACATTGTAACTCGCACTTTTTTTATCTGACACCAGCGATCCAAATAATTCACTGCACATAAAACACCCTGAAAGTTTCAGTGGGATATTGTCTGCACCCTTTGAATTTGTCCTTGTAAGTACTGGCCTTATTCTTCTTACGCAACACTGCTGAGTCTAACTTCGAGGAAATCAACAGAATATGGGAACTGTTTAAAACTGAATTTGTTTTTATATAACTGCTTTGTTATCACAAAACTTTAAGTACAATTCCAGATAAGAATCAGGCAGGTAGTACTAATTAAGCGGTTGAGTGAAAATCTGCGTATTCAATAAATCTGATTTTAATACATTCATTTGTGTCTAAAATGATTGATAAGTAATGATTTTGTTGTAATTCTTCATTCATCACCCTACCGGTCACGGTAGCCTAGTGGTAGAGCGTTCGCTTCGTGATCGGGAGGCCCGGGTTCGATTCTCGATCGCGGCGCCGCGTCATACCTAAGACGTAAACATAGGTAGTGACTGCTCCTTTGCCAAGCGCTCGGCACTAGAAGTGAAAGTCACGGGTCTTTCGGATATGACCTTAAAAACGTAGGTCCCGTGTCACGATAGGCGTTGGCACGATAAAGAACCCTCACTGCTCAATGGCCCTGAGTGCCGAGTATAGGTCTAAATTCGAAGCCCTTCACCGGCATCGGTGACGTCTCCATATGAGTGAAAAATTCTCAAGAGGGACGTTAAACAATATACAATCAATCATTCATCACCCAGCTGTCCAGGGATAAATTTCTAAAGAGGGGGGGGGGCTGTTATGCATTAATTGTATGTAAATAGTAACATTTCATGAAAAAAATTCCATAAAACCCAAGAGGATTTGGAAAAATTAAATACATGAGTACAATAATGATGGAAAATAAAAATTAAAAAGATATATATTATTGTGCAAATGAATGATTAAAAAGATAAAGGGTAATTAAATAGTGTTCGCTCTTATCCTCGTTCGCCTAGTCTGCTCACTCTAAAAAATTGTTAACTTTTGTCCATTTGCACATATTAGTTGGTTAATATTCATAATTTCCTTTGATGTTATTGAATTTTGGTTTAAGTTATAATTACTATTCTTTAACATTCAGAAAATAAAGTTTCAGAAATAAAAAAAAATATTTATTTTGTAATCGATGTGATAAGCATTAATTTTGATCAGTAAGGTACGTGTAATATTAAATGAATAATAAAAGATCCGTAATTTCTTAAAACTTATTGTATTGTCGGAGGTTTTATGGTTATCATTGCTTTCAATTTCCTTAATTATTCCCAAATTATATATACTAATATGAACCCTAAAAACTAACAAAGAATGTGTTCTCTTACAGTAATTACAAAATTAACAGCAATTTACCCAAAAAAGTCTTTCATTCATACTAAATCGAAAATAAAGTCAATAAGTACCGATAAAAGAAACTTTTGATTATATCTTTTCAAAAACAAATTTTACTAAAAAAAAATGACTAAAAATCCAACGATAATGTTGACATGAGTAAATATTTACAACAGGGATCAGCATCTATGGCGAACAGCACATAAGGACGAACAAGAACACACCCTGCACAGACTTACGCGAAGAGGTAGACAGGGCGAACGGACCTGATACCTATGTTCTGTAATAAACAATTGTTGTAAAACCTGGCCAGATTACTGGTTTTTTAGGGGAATTTTTCAAGTATTTGACGATGCAGTTCAATAGTTAGGGTCAGTCTGTGGTGTATGTAGAGATATGCACATACATGTATGCTTTAATTGATGCATTCAAATTTGATTTATTAACTGCAAGCACTAAATATAGGTTCGGGCTCCTCCTTTCTTTTTAGAAAATGTTCATTGAAAGTCCAAACCCCCCAGCCCCAACTCACACACACCCTTTTAGTTGCATTATTGTGAAATGTGAAATAAGGATAATGTTGTTCATTTTTGATAAATGTAGTATTAGAGAGAAAAATATGTCATTGGAAGAAAAATTTTGCGACCTAACCCCCACCCCTTTTACACTGACACACACATACTCAATTGACAATAGGATTTCTAAGTTAGCCCCCACCCCCCACCCCCGCACCCCCAAAAAAGGTGCAATGTTAATGAACTATGTTTGTCAATTATGGCATCGACTGGCTACATCAACGATGCAAATAATAAAATCCTCTGTTTCTTTAGTAATTTACACATAAAGCTAAGTACAATTACATGTGGTATTTATGTATTAAGAAGCCCTTCAACTGCATCAACATTGACCTTGACTTTACAATTAATTTTTATAGGGGAAAATGAACCTTTTATACCTGGTACATTTATTTCAATTCTTTGGTGATAATTGATAACCTTATTATTTCAGAAATCTCAGGAAATGAAATCATCAAATAAACAAAGATTGGAATTCAAAGGACAAGTTCAACACTTTGGATAAAATTTATCAGGCAATGCCTTTCATCCTCGACTTCCATGCAATTTATCGCAAAAGAGTTCCGTTAAACTAAGTAATCGCGATAATCTCATGTTGATCTCAAAGCAGCAATTATTGTAAATGGTTATTTTTAATCTCACTTCTGTTATTACATCCATGATTTCAAAGTCAAAAGTAAAACAATCATGAAGCATGGCAAATATCGCCTGAGTATTTTTTATTATCATCGAATCACAAAAATAAAACAAGAGGCCCAGGGGCCACAGCGCTCACCTGAGCACATCGGGCTTGAATTTACCCCCCTCCCCTCCAGGCGTTCATCATTTGAACGAATCTACATTACCTGAGGATGATTCCATATAAATATCACTAATCATAGCTTTGAAGTACTTGAAAAGAAGATTATAAAAGGTTTCTCTATTTATCCCTATGTAAAAATTGGGTCGGCCATTTTGGCCCCACCCTTGCCCCGGGGGTCATGATTAAGATTGTCCCTATATATTCCTATGTAAAACTCGGGTCGGCCATTTTGGCACCACCCTTGCCCCGGGGGTCATGATTTGAACAAATTTGAAACTACACTACCTGAGGATGCTTCCACATGAGTTTCATTTTTCCTGGCCCAGTGGTTCTTGAGAAGAAGATTTTTAAAGATTTTTCCTATATATTCCTATGTAAAACTAGGGTCGGCCATTTTGGCCCCACCCTTGCCCCCGGGGTCATGATTTGAACAAAGTTGAATCTACACTACCTGAGGATGCATCCACATGAGTTTGATCTTTCCTGGCCCAGCGGTTCTGGTGAAGAAGATTTTTTAAAAATGCCATTAATTTTTAATAAATGCATGATTATCTCCCCTTGGAAAAGGGTGTGGCCCTTCATTTGAACAAACTTTAATCCCCTTCATCCAAGGATATTTTGTGCCAAGTTTGATTGAAATTGGCCCAGTGGTTCTTGAGAAGAAGATGAAAATGTGAAAAGTTTACGACGACGACGACGACAACGACAACAACGCCAACAACGACAACGACAGACAACGGACAAATTTTGATCAGAAAAGCTCACTTGAGCCTTCGGCTCAGGTGAGCTAAAAAAATCTTCACACTGTAATATTTAAATACAATGCTGTATTAATTTGGAAGCTATACATCATTCCATTTACATCAAAATCAGCAATGTTTGTGTAAAATTTGACACAACATAATTTGACATAAACAAATACATATTTGTGATATTGTACATAATAATAAGAGATAAGAGAGTAAATGCTTTTTCTCATGAATTCATCAGGAGATGCTTTTATCTTAAAATCGATATTGTCAAGTGTGAACATGTTCTATGTATAAACCTCTGTTTTGACATAATCAACCAGGAATGCATTTATACAAACCACATGCTTTTTATTTTATACATTTGTGAAGTTTGAGAATATCATTTATTGCTTACTGCACAGTTACGCCATCTTATATTTTATTTATTACTTCAGCATATACTTGAATTCATCTATCGACCGTTTATTTTCTGCAATGGCCTGGTACAAAAAATGGTCATCTTTCCGTCGTACATCCTTTACCAACATTTGAACTTAAAAAAGAACAAAACATGATAATATATAATTATGCAATATATAATTATGTAGATGTACGAGGATTGATCCAAAAGTTCGTGAATCTTTTTTTTTTTCGATTTATCATGATTTGATGGCAGAAAAAAGAGGCATATTTCATAATACAGAGTCATTGTGAAACAATACTGATAAATTCCTTACATTCAAATTACCAAAAAGATCAGACGAGCTTTCAAAAAATGGATGGTTGTAAAATCTGGAGGGGACCTGGACGTAAAGTCAAGTTACTCGTATACCACGTAACATTATAGAAACACCTCATCCTCTTGCATAATACGCCTAAGTAATTCTACAGAGTGCTATTTTTTTCTCCATTTCGCACCGACTTATCTTCATATTACCCTCTTATTTCAAGAACACTCCATATCTTTCCATATAATGTTAGAATTTCAGTAGCAACATCAAGCACAAACCTAAGCTGTGAACGTCCATTAACACTTTTTTATTATACAGCAAAACTCGGTTATAACAAAGTCGCTGGGACCTATGAAATTACTTCGCTATATCCGTAATT